CAGATAGAGTAAGTGAAGATATGAAGACCAAGATGGAACTATGGCAGACGACTTCGGACTAGATGCATTCCACTAAGTCGCCCTGACAGCAAGACCAAGTTGCGACAACAAGATCAACCCACTCCGATGTAGATTAAGGTTCAAGTGGCCAATCAAATCAAGAGGCCTCATTAAGCTCGCGATGTTGCGTGTATAAAAAAGCGACTAGGGTTGCGGCCGGCCACCTTCTCTTGGTTTAGCATATTTTTGCTATATTTGGTAAAGTATGGAAGCTTGCTGTGATGATATCTGTCACAATATAGACACAAGCTTAGCACAGCTTCATCAGGGTCGCAGGACGGTGAGCCGAGGACTTCTTTGCACAATTCAACAGTCTTTCCTACGCAACAATCCTCCTTCGGATTCCGGTGAGATCACATCACGAATTCCTTCTAACCAACTTTCCCTTCGAAATGGAGAGTCATGCCACAATATTTCATTAAGGAATTCTTCGAAACCCACTTTTTCTTCATATAAAACATCCTTTACAGCCTACCTTTGGACTACGGACTACAAGCACTGTTGCTTTGATTATCAAAATAAATTGACGTTAGACACTTTCCTAACAATATTTCCCAAAATAAAATTATTAAGCACGTTTCAGACGGTAATTCCATGTTGATTTTCACCTCGCGCTCCAACATATCACATGCTCTGGGTAGATAGTGCCAAAAAAGACTTCTTCCTGCTTCAAATTAAAGAATTTAATCTTGACGATCTTGATCCCTTTTTTATAGGGGATCAGTCATCTCAATATGACATCGGAATCCAACCACAATTTTCAGATAGTTGGCCAGTGTGAGTTGAGTTGTGTTGAGGTTTCAGAGGGTGCGGAAGCCGAAAAAGCACGCGGCCAATATTAAATGATTAAACAAAAATGGTAATTAAGGCTTTTGAAGCCTTTTCAACTGAGACACAACTACGTTTTTAGGAGCTCAAGTCAGGTTCTGTTCCTAAAATTTTATTTGAGCTTCCCAATCTGATTGTTCTAACTTTATGGAGGCCTGAGAGAAGCCCGTTCAGATTAAATTGATGATGCAACGTATTTTTACTCGATAGGCTATGTAACAAAGTTAGGACTCATTTTACAGCCCTCTTGCCGGCCTCTCAAGTTCAATAGGAGATACAGAACATTTAGTTACTTAATTCCTACATATGAGTTCTTCACATGCTGACCAAGCCAGCTTGAAAGATGAATCTGATAAAACGTAGTAACTGCTCCTGAGAAATGAGGATTTTACTCCACTTAACATGGTCTTGTTTTATAAAACAAAATTTACTTATTCCAGAATATTTAAAAGTGAAGATTAGACACATAATTTATCTATCCATTGAGATGACCAATTTTCTGAGTCAGTGCGTCCAGTAGATGAATCAAACCATCGAACGCGATCCATTCAGACCATTGGAGGATTATGTAAAGGGTATGCGGATTGGTGATTAACCATATTCTCTGGTATAAGCCACTATTTTGCGATCTAATGAGAATCCTAGTGCACTTGCCTCAAAGGGAGGCGAAATCGCCGACTGGATAGATAATAGTAAAATACTTAAGCAAGGTTTTTGTCATTGTTGATGCTAACAACAGCGTCGATGAAGTTTCCTTGGAGGAGCCCAGGTAAGATTTGATGCCAAGAGATACGGATAACGATAAAATGCTTTCTGAAATTACCACACGACCTGAGCTTGTATCAGCATAAGGATAATAACGAGGTCTAGTTAGTCTATACACAGGCAAATGGCTCATACCAATTCCAAAGTATTGCGGGATTTTGCAGATTAATCGTGTTTTTAGGGCGAACTGTATTGTCAAAACTTGTCCGTTGGACCGGGAACATGGTACATTAAATGATCAAAACTATTCTGGTAGATGAATCCGGACAAGCTGCACACATCTAGTTTGCTCTGATAATATGACCAAGTTGCAAAAGCGAATTGAGACCACTTTCATACAGCGAAAAGAGACTGTGACCGAAATAGAGATCGCATACCTCCAATTAGATTAATGCAGAATCTTTAAAAAGTGCTAAACTACCCCTTCTCGGTTTATCAGTTATCTTGATTAATTTTTTTAAGCAATTAACCTGAGCCCTATACAGAACTTTGATTAAGCATGACTTGCAAAAAGAACCTCTGTCAATCTATTCACAGTCTCTTTCATCCTAAGTTCAACAATACATCAAATACAATGTCGAGTTTCGATCGGCAACCAGACTTGCTTAGACAGGACATAGACGCTTTCCCAAAAACATTGCTATTAGCTGGGATTGGATCCTTTGTGGAAAAAAACACGACAAATACATATAACTGATAGCAACCAAGACAGAAAGATGCCTTGCAAACCTACCGAATCCAGCAGGTGAAGCGACGCATCTCGATGCCAGGACAGCAGACGGCATTGAGGCTGATGCTGATCTTGGCTCCGACATTATCTTTCCAGTCAGAGCTGCCAGCAGAGAGCTGCAATCATTGGAAGATGGAGTACTACCTCGAGTACCACCGCACAGTTTGATGATACGGTTGGAAACGATCCACAGGCGAAATCGAGAAAGCAAATCTGAGGGCGCGCGAAAGCGCAAACAGTAAATTACACATACAAGCATTAGGAAAGAATACATAGTCATATATACCTACATAAATATATTCAATGTTGTATCATTAGGGAGATAATAAAGATTATACCAGTAAGCGGAACCTTAGGGAATCTATATGCATCAACAACAAGCAACACCCTGAATAGAATGAGTGTATAAAATCAAGTGAAAGTTACTTCTGGGCGTTGGATAGGATTAGAGAAAGAGAATGAGATGTACCGTCGAGCAAGAGGAGTCTTGATTAGCCTCGAATCTGGTTGTGACTTTCACACTTCACTAAATGCAAAAGCAATGCATGCACGCAGCACATGCGCAATGGAGCGAAATCGCAAGATTAAAAAGATAAGTGATCTGGGGAAGGGTGCAGCATCCGTTTCACTTTTCATCTGCAGCCACTTTATTTATCATTAAGAGCATAGGATAATCAACAAAATCATGAAATTTTTCATCAAATGGACAAAGTTGAACTATGAGAAGTAGGTAGGCTTGTCGCCTGTTACCTTTCTTGCTTTTATGCTTTGGTAAAGGATGGTAAAGCGTGGTATCCTTTTCTGACAATGTCCTTTACACGACGTAAGAAAACTCAGCAAGGATTCATCAGGGTCGCATGGCGGTGAGCTGAGGGCCCATTCGTACAAATCTACAGCAACTTACGAATTCCTTCCGTTCGTCTGTTTAGAATTTGTCGCGTGCGCCTCTAGGTCTTAGCTCCGGCCCCCGGGGTCTACGCCAATCAGTCTTCTCTAATCTGAATTTACGCAACAATTAGGAATGTGCTTATCTGCCTGATGGTAGGCTAACCATTACACCAGAGTTGGGGATTTGCGTTTCGTTAGCTATTTCTTTATGATGGTAAACTAAAAGTGTAATGGTGTCTTATTGTAGTTGGCATAATGTACAACTTCATGTTGATTTTTGTTATTTAATCCCTATGAATGTTGTTCTGTGTTTCAGACATTTGCGAGAAGTGTATGAAGCCATTTTACGCTTTATATCTGGTTTCCACGACGCCAATCTATCGTGAAAAGGATGTGGAGTCATCTAAGACTTTTATCAGGCATTCGATTGACGAATCAACACAAGCCACTTATGCTAATTTTCACTGAAGAGTCAAGAAGTATCCTATTCACTTTCGAAATGCCACCTTTTATTATATCTACTATTCGCTTAACTACAGCGTGATTGTATTTGATACATGCTGCTGTAGTAGTCACGACAGGTGCATCGGGAACAAGGGCATATGCCAACAAGGAGATGGAGGTGGTGGGATAATATAGAAAAAATGATTACTAGTTAATTATTTTATTACATTATACTTGTTTTGCACGAGGGAAACCGTAGTGCCACAAATTACTTTAGAATCGGGGTACGCGGATGATATCTTTTCGTTTCAGAGAATGGGCTGTAAGATGAGCTCTGAAAGGTATTATTTCCGAGTTAAGCACACACACACACACACACACACACACACACACTCCAAATAAGACTTTCGGTGTTCATCCATTTTTAGGGTTCAGTGGCGGAGTCACCAGCTTGTTTGCCTTCACTCTTTCTACATGCATGCTATGCTTTTAAGATTAGACAAGATACTCATATATTTAGCAAATTATTAGAGAAGACCTTTAAATCAAGTAATTACTCGTCTGTCACTCGACTTGACACCCGCTCGTAGAAGATTCATGATTGTGGCAGCAAGCGGAATGGATCGTGAATAATAATCCGCAAAAAATATCAATTTCCGTTTAGGAGCGATCGAGATCTTTGTCAGAGATCCGGAGAAACCTAAACTGGATCCTGTAAAATTAAAGTTTACAACTCGTTAATGAAATTGCAACCATTATTCCATAAAGATCTCGAGTCTTCTATCCTCTCTAACAACATTAATATTAGAAAAATTTTTTTACTAGGTACTCTTATAATATTGTAACATTGCTCAATTTCGAAGAAGTAGTAGGAACTCAACGAGTTTCTACATGGTCGGATCAGAAGCAAGCATTGCCATTTAAACAATCATTAAGATCTCTACGAGATGTAGCCACTATGACAGGATGGGGAAATGATGATGATGACTCACCGAGGTACGCAAAGAACCAACTCTCGATTCGTGCCTCTGAGACCCATTCACCAATGCGAGTCC